ATAGTAAAAATTCTACCAGCAAGCCAATTAATTATGGGAGTTTATCAGTTGGACATGGTCGAAAATGCTTATGCAGAGATTACGGTATTTTATGCATTTATGCTTTTTACAATATAATGAAATTTAAATTTTAAATATAAATATATTGAAGATAGTTTCTTATGTGATTACTACCTTAATTAAATGTAAATTGGTTTTAAATTAAGAATCTAAATAAATAATATCAAACTTGAGTAATTTTCAAATCAAGCCTTAACAAATCAACAATAAAATATAAATTATCAAAAATCACTTTGCGACATATTAAAATCATGATTTATATTTGTTTTAAATAATTAGCGATGTACAGTATTAAATTGCGCATGAGCTTATGCCATATTTTACTATCATAAATTTATAATAATGATTGTGATATTAAAAAGAATACGTTCGGGACAATCTCGTCTCAAATGTAATTAAAGAGAAAGCGGTAATGAATTTGGAAACAACCATACAAAGCAAATATATGATTTGCTAAAAATATAGAATATTTTCTTCAGGTATTAAAATAAATTGATTACATGGTAAATTTATGATTAAAAATTGTAATAAGTTTTAAATATGAAATAGCTTTTCTTTATTTGGGTTGCGTTAAATCAATGACAAAATTCAATCTTAGTAATGATGAAGATGTGAAAGTAAAGTTAAAATGAAGTGAAAAAAGCAATTTATTCATAATAATTATTTAATATTACAGTATGAAACTCCTTGATTATTAAGCTCCTTCAATATTCTTTTTAGTATCACGCTGTATTATTACTTTTAACATTCTTTCTAAATGATAAAAGAATTTCGTAAAAAAATTTAGACCCAAAAAAGTCTCATCTTTATTTGTTTCAAAAACTTTCCGAATTCTTTCAAAATCCAAATAATTGTATTTCTTTAATAAATATGGCTGCATCCAACTACTGCTTTAAAGAGCTTCAATAAAATCATTGAGAAACATAAATTATTCCTATCCCTGGTCATAAAAGTTTAGAAATGAAATTAATGAAACAAAATATAAAATATACAGTATTTAACGCAACGCAGTTTATAAATAATGTTTTTTATGATAAATAAATCGCTCAATTACAAACTGATTTTATTAATGTATTAAATGTATTAGAAATATTATAATTAGTGTTGAACAATACAACGATGAAATAATTTAAAAAAAAATGATTTCATTATTTGATTAATAGATATCCAATTTAAATTCGTTATTAAAAAATATTATTGATAAAAAAATGATAGATAGGGCTAAGATAAAATCATTTAAAAAATTCAATGGATACACTTATTTAGCCCTAGGTGAAAATGAAATTTTGATTTTGATTTCCCCATCCAAATTCTGAATATCTGAAATACCAATATTAATACTATTTTTAATATCATGTTTACCTCTATTGAACCTTGCTATCTTTGCAAAGTTTATATTAAAGTCCTTAAAAATTATTTTAAAATAATAACCAATAACAGGGCATGTTATAAATTCTGGTTTTTTGTGGGATTACTTTATCTCATAGGGAAATCCTATAGCGCACTGCTTGAGTAATAGTAATACAAAATCACTTCATAGTTTCCTTGGTTTTTCCTTTAGCGGAATGGTAACCAGGATAATAACTAGTTCTGCAATTACTTTCGTTTTCAAGGTTAATAACGTACCGATATGACCAAATATCCCCAGTAGTAAGATCACTACAATAATTCAATGTCCACCCATTAGATGTATATTTAGTATTTATATCACCTTTTGAAATGTTCTTTCAATGTTTCGTTCGCCACCATTTGAAATTTCAACGGTTCGACTTAAACTGCTGTGGTTATGAATTGCTTAATTTCATAAATAAATTATTTATTGTAATAAGTATATATTGAATTGGAGGATACACAAACTTCAACAGAATCAAGTAAATATCCATGACCGCGCTTTTGAAAAAATGGCAAATTGGGTATAATACAATTTCATCATTTTCATTACCATTACCATCGCCATCATCACCATCACACTATTATCACTATCATTATGATCACTTCCATTACCATCGTCACCTCTACTGCCATTATAACCATTGTCATAACCATCATTAACACTTCTATTATCATTATCACTGATTTTTATCTTTCTCTTCATCCTTGCCTGGTTTTTGTTCTTTCTTCGAATTTTCATCATCATTTGGGAGAGAATGTCTAGTTAAACTATCTTTTAATGAACGATACTGGATTATTTTGTCATTCTTTCCTTTGTAGTTAAAAGAATTTCGTTCAAAAAATATGACATTTATAAACTTTCCTGAGATACTCTGAATGAAACATAATACTTCCTATCTGTGGCTGTAGAAATGTTAATGTAATGTTCACTTTAAACACAACGCAATTAATAATTAAGTTTTTTTTTGTGATAAATAAATCGATCAATTTCCGACTGATTTTATTATGTAAAAGAAGGATTAAACATAATTTATAAACAGTGTTGAATAAAATTAATTTAAATAAAAATATGATTTCAGAATATTAAATTCGTTGTCATAACAAAATACAACCTCAAGCCAGTATAATAATTAAGCAAAATGTATTGCTAAAGAATAATAGGTACGTCTATAATTCATTTAAAGATTAAATAGATAAACTTAATTAGCCTTTGATGCTATTGGTACAAATGAACGTTTGATTATGATTTTCTTATCCAAATTCTGAATATCTGGAATTCCGATATTAATATTATTATCAATATCATAAATACCTCTGTTGGACCTTGCCAATTTTGCAAAATTTGCATTAAAGTTCTCAAAATTATTAAAAGAAATTTCAAGATTATGGGCATGTTATAAATTCTGGTTTTTGCGAAATGAATTGTAACACTGGGTTAACCTTATAGCGTATTATTTGAGTTATATTAATACGAAATCCACTCATATTTTTCTTGGTTTGCCATTTAGCGGAATGACGTCCAGGAACATAACTTGTTCTGCGCTTACCATCTTTGTCAAGGTTATTAGAAACATATCGATATGACCAAGCATCTCCAGTAGTATGACAACCACTATAATTTAATTCCCACTCATCTGATGTGAATTTGGTATTTGTAACACTTTTTATACCACCTTTTGCTGAAATATTTGGTGCTGCTCCAATTTGTCCTTCAAAGTTTGTTTCACGACCATTTGAAATTTCAACAGATCGATTTAACTGCTGTGGATATGGAGCGTTTAAAGATATAAACAAATTATTCTTATCATTAGGTATGCATGAAATTGGAGAAATGCCAACTTCAACAGAATCAAGAAAATATCCATGTCCACGCCTTTTATAAAATGGTAAATTATAACTAAGCATTTTCCCTGTTTTACAAGAATATAAATCGATTTCATACTCCAGATTCGGTGGGGAAAATTTAGCATGAAGATGAGCAGAAAAAGTAAATTTTTGAAAAATCTCTGGATCTACAGTATTAACAATTGCAGCAGAAGAAATAGTAATACAATTTTCATCTTTTTCATTAACACCGCCACCATCACCACCTCCACTACCTCCACCACTATTATCATTATTACTATTGCCACTATCATTATCTTTACTTCCATTACCATCGCCTCCTCTATTACCATTATTACTATCATTACCACTTTTGTAATCATTATCGCTTCCATTATTATTACTGCTTATATCTTTATCTTCATCCTTGACTGATTCTTGTTCTTTCTTCAAATTTTCTATATTATTTGGAAGAGAATGTCTAGTTGAATTATTATCACCAAATTCTTTAGTAATGTGGTCGCTGCTACTAGATAATTCACTTAAATTTTGATTATCAATTTTATCAGGAATTGATATTTGGTATATAGCTTCAAATTGATTCTCAAACATGGCTTCAAGACATTCCAATATTGAAATGTCTAACGGTTTAGAAACCCAGCAAGAAATACATGGACTGATAGAATCATTATGAAAGTCAATTCCTATAGCATAAACAGGCTGCGATTTTAATAAATCATTGATATCATCTTTTCGGCTAATAAGTAATTTCTGCAACTTCTCAATTTCGATATACGAAGTAGCAGAAATTCCAGGAGAAATTGTTGATTTTATTGAAATAAATTCTGAATCATCTCTAAAATTTGAATTACAACAAAAATTTAGTCCATTATCATTCCAAACTTTAATGGTAGGTTCATTAAGCTGAATAGAGTTAAAAGGATTACTATCGTCAGAGATATGGTTTATATCTTGATCTTTAATGAATTCTCCTATTTTTTTTTTTTATAATTACATTTAGATTAGTTTTATATAGATATTTCAATAGTTATTGGTGTGATAGAATACTAAAAAAAAAAAATAACTTACTCCCTATACATTAAAAATGGTTGGTTTAAAAAAGTTTAGATTAATTTAAATTAAACGACACGATAAAATATAGTAGAACCTAAATAACTTACAATCTATAGAGATAGTTATTAGTCCATTAAATATTTTTTTTAAAAAATGAGAATTAATAATCAATAATTTGAGACGGGAAGAATATAAATACCATTCAATTCTTCTAATGTAGGGTAGCCAATAGCATCTGAAATTGGTTTTAGCATCATACGTTTGTTTTTAAAATTTTTTTTAAATTTTAGCTCAATATCGTAACTAAATATTAATGAATATTATTTACCTTCTAATTCCTCTAAAGTTTTATACTCTTGATCATTAGGATCTTCTAAAAAGTTATGATGGAGATAAGTTTCAACTTGTGAATTGCTAGCCGAACCGTTATCAGAAGGATCCATAGCATCGACAATAGAATCCTCAATAGTAAGAAATCTACTTAATGAATCTTGCGCATAGATCGTATCCTCATTATAATTGGCATATCCCAAATCGGCTCCAAAACTTAAATCCTTCGAATGCAAAACTTGCATGCTTTCTCCAACTTCATTCACATTTTTATCAAAGGTGATTTGAAGTTTGTTATTCTTAATATTAGATTTAACGTCCTCAGCTAGTCTATTGTAAAAATGTTTTACTTCTAGTGGTTCGTTTGACCAAGAATTTCTTGCGATTTTTGCTAACTGAACAATTGATTTTTTGATGTTTTCTTTACGATATTCTTTCATTAATGCCATTCTGTAAATGATAAAAGCATTTGGAAGCTTTATACTTTTATTCTTAACGTATTTTGGCATGATTTCGTCTATTGTCAAAGTAGGTGGGAATGTCGGCTTGAGTATTTCTAACAAGTTTATTAAAATTTAAATGAATAAATATTGTGTATCTTGAAGAATTATAGTTTTATAATAATTACCTTCGTCGCCCGAAATTGGTGCTGTTTCAAAATTTCAGAAACAGCAATTGAGTATAATTGTATTATTTGAATGATGTGGAAGAATAATTACCTTCTATTTCATCTAATAACATTTTTCTTAAATTTTTTTAGGTGTATTAAACTTCATTCTTACCAATTTCGGTTTGTTCGTTTTTCTTCCTTTTTTTTTGTTTGCGTATATAATTTTTTATCTCAAGACTATCGAATACCTTTTTGCTTTTATTGTTACTTTCTGACATTGCTGTAAATTTCAAGAAAAAGTTTTTTTTTTAAGTAATTTCCCAAGCTTATTGTTATATATATGTATGTAGATCATTTTTTTGCCGCACGCATGCAATTTGTTGATCATTTTAACTAATATTAGTTGGTACGGCCTGAAATAATCGAACAGAATAGTAAAGAAAGAATGAACACTACAGTAAAACGAATAATAAAATATACCAACCGTATGTGGATCTAGAGGATAAAATAAAAAAAAAAAATCTCGAAGTAATCGCTACGGCTTGCAGAAGTGATGTGGTCGGATAACGTCCGACTTGAACGATCGGACTGGGACATTCTGGGACATTATCCAGCGGTCCGTGTCCCACTATGTCCCAATAAATAAGTTGTCCGTCGGACATGTCCCACCCGAAAATCGAGCGTCCGATTGTCCACGCACGTGTACGAAAATCGAAAAAGATATTTTTTTTTTTTGCAATTATGCGATTCTTTTTTTTTAAAAAAATCGTTTTGATTAAATTTCAATACAAACTTCTCGATGCCAACACTGTCAGATTTATTAAACGATTATATTATTAAAAGTAAAGAATACTCAATCAGAGTAATCTTAAAACGTACGTATTGTAAATGTTGTATTAATGTATTAGGAGAGGACGATGGGAAAAAAAATTGTTTCCCAAATAAAACAGACCGAATAATACACATATGAAAAAATATACACATTTTTTCGCAGCAACAACACTTGAAATAAGTGATGAAAATTTTTTCTTTGTCAAGAATTAACGAAAAACAATTAAAAAATAAAAGATCGTGTAAGTTTTTAACACTTTTTTATATGGTGGTGTTTTTTTTCAAAATTAATTCTAATTTTGAATTTTTTATAGCTTTATAAATCAGTGATACTACATCCTAAAGGTGTGGGCGAAACCAAAATCTCAAGGTCGAAACGTTTCGGCTTGCAAGAACTAAAATCCGAAACTTTCCGATAATCCGAACTAAGACGAAATTGGCGAAACTAGACGATATTGGACGATACTAGCGAAACCTTCCGAAACTAGTTAGCCAATCAAACTAAATGCTGATTTAAATCTTTAATACTATTTAAAACTAATCTTTGCTAATAATTAATCAAAGTTGCTATATTGATAAATTAGGCTAATTAATGTGCTATTTAACCATAATATACAATTAGCATATAATTTATTATTTATTAATTCGTGAAATCAAATATAGTTAATTAATAGCTGATCAAAAAACAACCACCAAAATTAGAAATTGAATCCTCACCTTTTTTAGATATACCGATACCACATTAAATGAATATTATTTATCGTAACATTATTTTTATTATTATTCATTCCATTCAAAAATCAAAATAAATCTAATGCTATTATTAATCATTAACTAAAGTAATTATTTTATATTTTCAAAGAAATTACAAAATTAAGAAAATAAAAATTAATATTTTAATTTTTATTTAAATCAAATCAGCTTCTCTTTCAGGATCCCAATATTCTTCAACACCATTATTATCTTGAATGTTAATTGTCTCATTATCATCACTATCAGTAATATCAAAAGTATCAACAATTATATCTCCTAAATATTTTGTAAAATCATCAGCATGAAGATTTAATAATTCTTCAATATTAAGTATTTCTTCCTCAGGATTGGAAAAATTTTTGTTGTTCTTCATTAATAAATTCTTCTTCCAAGTTTTCATCATTATAAAGATTTATATTATATAATATTTCATTTAAATTTTCAACAGTCTTATCGATCACAATGCATGTCCCTTAAATTTAAGGCTATTGTTATAATTTACAGTACGCGATGAAAGTTTCTGGAATTAAAATTCAATGTAAAAAATCACGATTTACTCCTGCAATATGTAATCTATTAAATAACCTTTTCACGTGACATCCTTGTATTAGACATTTTTAGATATTATGTAATAGGGGTCTTTCAACCGGTGATGACAAATGACCAGGTCATTTGACCATTTTAAAATGACCCTCGAATGACTTTCGAATGACCACGTCATTTTGGTCATTTAAAATAAGTCATTTTACAAATGACAAATGACCTTGCGTGACATTGTCATTTGAAGGTCATTTATGTCATTTGAAGTCATTTAGGTCATTTAAAATAATTTTTTAATTCAATTTTAGG